TTCAACGTGATTTTTTTTTTTTTTGCTTACTGTACAGCCTGCCGCTAAACAAATGACTAATATGTTTCTCAGACAAAAACTACAAAGCTTGAGCGATGAAAATTTATAATTGTTTTTCAAACTAGTTTCGAGAATTGAAAACAGTTATTTTAGCTTCCAAACTGCACCTATAGGCACCAATTTGAGTGTCGAAAGATTAAAATATTTGGCAAGAATGTATTTCAAGAATGTTTTTAAAATATCTCAGCCGATTTCTCAGATTTCAGAGAAGTTATGGTGCCTCCCGAAATGTTCGTCCAACAGCTTGATCTTCATAGTCTATTTTCATGGTATTGTGGGGATGACTTCTTTCCCTAGTGAACACACTGAAATTTCCTTGTCTGATTGAATTCGGACCCCTAACAGTGAAGAGTGCCTACAGTGCTGTGTCTAAGGTCGATGTTACTGACACCACTTGAATTGTGACTCATGCAGAACCTTTAACATCAGAAAGCCTCCAGGTGTTTTTTTAATTAGTAGTTTGTGCAGACTATTTAAAAAGTTACAGTTTTGTGCTTAAACTGAACATATTTTATAAAAGTACTTGAAAGAAATTCAGCTAACTTTAATTTTCATATATTTGAGGAACTAATATGTGGTGGTTAACAAGGAAGTAAGGCGAACCAATTATACTGTAATATAATCTAGTAATAACTATTGTGTAAACTGATTTACTTGTATAGTAGTCTGATCAGACTATTTTTAAGAAACCGTGTGAAGGCTTTCAGTTATTGTTATAGGAGATGATGACTAATCAGTGAAGAGAACATAGAAGATTGATGTTACCTGCACCAATTCCACCAGACTCTCTTGTGACTTTGAGTGCCAGGATACTGATATTTTTGAGGTATAGGAATGAAATTTTAGAGTCCAGAGTAAAATTTTGCAGAAGTATTGACGACCTGAATGTTATTTTTATAGATGATAGAACATATGTCCACGGGACTTGCCAGATCGAAGAATATCTTGAAAACGAAGATATTCAGAAAAGGATATGCTTGCTCAACCAGATTTCCTTATCTGAGTACCTCAGAGCATGCCTCAAATGCCCTTGGAAGAGAAATAGCAATTCTTCATTCCCTACTGGGATTAAAAACTGCCCTGGTGTTCGGTCTTAAAACAATTGCTATTTTCGTAAACAGTGTGAGAGTTTGTTGAGGGACTTTAGTTTCCACCAGGTGTCAAACCTGTGATGTCATTCGGAATTATATATTTTCTAGCTTTTATCGCCGTAACTCTTCTTTTTGAAATTGTATCTATTTTAATGGGCTTTGGACAAATTCTCATACTTTTCATCATCACAATATGTTTGTTACCTTTTTTTCTATGTTTTTTTAATTTTTTATTTATTATTATTTTTTCATTGATGCCTCGCCTGTTATGTTTGAACACTCAAACTTCTAAATTCTATTTTCTGAGTAACTGCTTTTGTTAATTTTAAGATTTCACTAAATTCTTTGAGGCCATCCAGTTGAGGCAGGGAATCTTTGGATCTTGGTGAGGTAGCTGCTCTACGCGCGGCGCTCAACCTACATCAACCATGGTTTTCCCTGGAGTTGCTTCTGACTTCTGTCTCCCTTGCTCATTTTTCCGACGTGTTGCCATGGATCGCCACCATGCCTACCTTTTTGAATCCTCTTTTTCTTTTCCTGAGAGGTGACGTGAGCGTACTTAGAGTCTACAGTATTCTCCGGATGCCCCCCGAGCTTTGATTTTCTAGCTTTTAAATTTCCTTTAATTCTTAAATTTAGAGTTATTTTTAATCATTCCATTTCTCGTTTCAATTGAATAAGCCAGCTAATTTTTATCCAATTTCATAAAAAGCGAATATGAATACTTCTATTCTCTTAGCAATAAATGTAACGTCGAACTTTTTATTCAATACAAGTGTATAAATAGTTATGAATCAATGTCACAACGTAATGGATATCAGAATCTATATTTAATCTTACCTTCTTTAAGGCGTTTTTTTTTAGCACAAAAATGTTTCAATTATAGGATTATATTAAACTCTAACGTTCCTTTTGGTGATCAATTTGTAAGCCAAATTATTTAAAATTTAATGTTAATAACTTTGCTTCGGCTTTAATTTTTGGTTGTATTATTTATCGAAGATTCGCAAATAAGGGATCTCTTCCCCTTGCTCTGCTTCTAGTGTCAGTTTAGAGTCGTACATACACTTAAGATTTAAAATTGGTGTGGTTAGGGCTGAAGGCTTTTGGATGTCTCATGGCCTTTCAGTCCAATTGTTAGAAATGTTTAAAGAAAATATATTTTATATAAATGTCTTCCTCTTTAAAAAAAAGATATTGCTGTTAAGAAAATGCGAATATGCTCATGCTAAATTTGTAATAATTGAGCTCTTGGTTAATTGGTATTATAGAAAGTGTTTCTTCGGTTATGGTCATTAGTAGACGATTTCCTTTCAATTCAATGTTCATAAATAAAATAAACTTCACTGCTCATTTTTCTTTACGAGTAAACAAGACTATGTTCATTTCACAAAGGACGTGGTACAACAATATCTCTTATTAAACCTTTAAGTGTAATGTATCTTTTTTATACTATTTTGCTGCTATGACAAAAAACCAATAACCATTAGGTCGTTCTATGCCGTTTCGTTATTATCTTTGTCATACTTTGATGCATTTTTATTGATTTATTTCTTAATTTGATACTTTCTTTGATCCAATTAACTTGATTTCGTTAATCATTTTTTAGTTCTCCAAAAAATGTGTTTTTTAATTTTGAGCATTATTGTTGCAGATAATTAGAATCCCAATAAAAAATAAAGTAAAAAAGTATACACGTTAAGGGTTGCAATGAAAAAAAAAAAAGAAAACTAAATCGAGTGAATTTCTACAGCTTTATTAATGAAGTTAAAAGTTTTAAAAAAAAATTGAAAAAGCCGTTTTTTCAGATATTTCATATATGAGTTGAAATGCAATTGTTAGAAACACCTTCAAGAATCATACGATAGCTAAATATATTTTGACGTTTTTAATTCCGTCTTCAAGAGTTATTCGTTAGCTAGTATTAATATTTTTTTTCCTTGTTTCCTTATTATTTGCGGCGTTAATGTGCATACCTAGATTTCTTTTTTCTTACTTTTAGCAGAATTCTGAAAATAGTTCTTAGGAAAACTCTGTATGCTTATTTTAGATTCAGTATAATAATGATATTACATTTTATTCCGTGATAGTTTGTTTGAGAATGTTATATGCAACCACTATGGTGAAGTTTTTCTCATTCCTTATATTTAATATCACTATAACTAGCTTTATTGCTGAATTCCTAGCTTTATTGCGCAAATCTAAAGTGTTATATGAACGTTGGGTGATTACTATTAGTATTTTGTCATGAATCAAAATTATGGTGTTTTTATGCGTTACGTCTCTGGTACCTATTCCATTAGTATAACTCTAATACGACCCTAGCAACCCAAAACTACAAGTTTAAACCCAAGTTTTAAACTACATTTAAAAAAACATCATGGTTTTGCATTCTATAAAATTGAGACATTTAGTGAAGAAAAACGGCGCTAGAAATTATTTAAAAAGAAACAACTTTTATTTACATGAAGCAACAATTTTAAATTATTAGTACAGTTAGCAGATGATCATCTCTTAGGAAAAATATGTTATCCATTAATGATTGTAACAATGTGATAAAAGCGCACACGGACTATAAATAGCAATAATAAGCTTTCATTCTCTGTAAAATATATTAAATACAACATTTTATTTATTATTCACAAGACTTGAAAAAAAGTTTCATTGAATCATTTGCATAAATATAATTCACACTTAAACCATTCTTTAATTGGGTGTCCTTACATTAGAAAAATAATTTAAGTTTTGCCAAAAATGTTAAATTATTAAAAATTTTATTTTAGTAAAATAGTGAATATAGGAGAAGGAATAAAAACTTACTGTTGACAATTAACACACAATTTTTCAGTTATTCTGTTAAACTCTCATAAAACACATATTAAATTAGATATGTATGTACACATATTGAAATGAATTGCCAAAAAAGTTTTTAGAAAAATTAAGCAATTCCAATATCAATTATTTTTTTAAAAAAAGATGTTCATTCATAATTTATGTACATATTTTTGTATTTAAAATAAGTTTAGAGATATTAAATTTTAAAAATGGATTTTTAACTTTTTAATGTTAATTTTATGAGAATTTTTCAAACTAAATATTTAATACTGAACTTCCTTAATAAAAATTTTCCACGATATTCAAAATATTTTCTAAGAATAAGAAAAATATATATTTACAATCAGTTACTACATTTTATAATACAATCATAATTTCAAGTTTTAGCCCTCTTCAAGAAATTGCATATTTAATACAAGGCCCCCAACTTGAAAATTATATTAAAAAACATTGTAAATGCTTTCAATTTTACATTTAAAGAATCTGTGATGCGTGTAAACAGTTTATAAACTCACATTTTAATCTAGAATTCTAGCTAAATTTTAATAAAACCCACGCTAAGTTTTTCTATGAAACCGATACCTAATGAAACTATTACAGATGTGAGAATAGGCAATATTAGTAAAGATAAGTGCATAAATATTATGGATTATTGAAAGATTAAATATTTTTGAGTCTATAAATAAAATAAGTAAAACATATCAGTTTTGATAAAATAGTTAAGACAAGCTATTCTAAAATTATTTATACTTTTGAGGCCTTTTAGAAGGAAGACTTCGAGCATAGGCATTACTTTTCTTTTAAAGTGTATTTTCTCGCTATGTAACAGATTCTATTGTTGAAACATCTACGAGTAGGTGGCGTATGAGAAAACTATTGCATTTTGCTGTTAACAATGCGGAATGTCAGCAAAAAAGAAAAAAAAAACTAAGTTTAGGAACAGTCATTAGTAGACTTCATTAAAGATGAAGTTGACTATGTATCATCTTATTTGGAATGTAAATGATAATTGAATTTATAACAAGCATATCAACATTCTGACAGGCATTTAAGTGTCTGTTCGCAGCATCTTTGAAATAAATCAAAGAATCACAACAATATGTTGTCACAAAAAATGACTAGTCCTAACACAACGAAATAACAGTCTCAAACCCTGTTTAGGTGATGTTTATGCATAAACGAAAAAAAAATATATACTCAAGAGTCCAGCTCTTGATTTGTAAGGTGAAAGATTCAACCATACCTGGAAATTTCAAAATAGCCTGAGAAGCGGTCCCTGTACATAACAAACTGAGCCTAACTGTTAGGTTGGCTACAGTATATCGTCATAATATATTTATATTATATTTAGAAATAAATTAGGACGTAACAAATTGGTTTAGGCAAACAATCAACATTTTATATACAAATTATTACTCAATAATAAAAGTCATAATAATAAACATATAAAAACTCCTTGAAATTATACAACAGCAAAAATATCAAATATGATTGTAACACTAAACTGAAGTATGGTAGAGTGAGAATTTTTCCAAATGGAAATGACCTTCAAATGAATTAAATATAGAATAATTTTACAACAAATGGAATTTTACTAGCATCTGCCCTGCAGACGTATTTTCAAAGAATGTCTTTTTCTGTTCAAGTGTAATTTTTATGGCACTGCATTTCATTTTGATAAAACCTTCCCAAAGCTTTTTTTCTTGTGGACTGTTCATGCCAACAATTACTGGCAGAAGGAACATTTCGCAGCTCTTTAGGAAAGGTGAGTATCCCTTGGAGAGCTTTGTACTCTAGCACCTTTCTCAGAAGCACCTTTTAACAATGGAGTCAAATGCATCTTACCAAACATTGGTTTGTGATTCCTGTTTAAATAATTTTCCTTAATACTGTTTTGTATAAATTCAGTATTAGAGGAGTTCTTAGGTGCTGTAAGAAGAAGAGACAAGAGTTTCCTAGTTGTTTGAGAGTTAATTTTTTTGGAATGATTTTTATCCTCCTCAGAGTTCTCAATAACATTGCTATTATGTGCAACATGACTATCACTAGAGTCATTAATTCGAAGAGATGATTTAGAATTATCACTATTATCATTGCAAGTAGTATTGAATTTGCAGCACAAAAATCCATCCTAAAAAATTTAAAATATATTTAATTAAAGTATATTAGAGATTCATACAGAGTGAACGAAAAGTATGAAAACGGGGAATATTTTAGACCAAAATCTAAAAACTTATGAACTATTTAAAAAAAAAATCGATTCAATGATATCAATCTCAACCCCCTATCAAACTAGTCACTTTTGGGTGAGGGGTAACTTCAAAATCTTAAATAGAAATTCTTTATTGCAGATTTGAATTTTCCAAAAACCTCAATTTGCTCTACGAGTTTTGTATTTTAGTTCACAGATGACACTGTCAAAAAAAGAAAATAGTGTGCATATTGTTTAAAATTTTGATATAATACAAGACAGATAAGAAAATATAATTATATAAATAGCCATGTTTGATATTTTTAGACAACTTTTTCATACCAATCCCATCCCCTGGGAGTTTGGCGAGTATCCAATTTGTTGTAAAGTAGTTTTCTTATCTTATTTTTGTTTACAAGAAATTTACTCGTACTTGAATGTAATGCAGATTTTTAAACCCAAAATTCCTTATTTAGAAATCAAATAAATGCATCTTCCGACCCAAATCTTTAATTAAAAAAAATGGGGGTGTCTACTAAAATTTTAGAGCTTGGAGTCTTCACATATTTGCAAAATATACCATTTTAATTTTTCTCGATTACAGAGCGCCATCTGTGAACCAACATTCAAAATACTTGTAGGCAAATTGGGATATTTTTAACTGGAGAATCCAAACCCTTAATAAAAAAATGTGGACTCTTATTCAAGATTTAAAAGCTATACCCACCCACAAGGAGTGAAGTAGAAAATACATCACACATATCTGACTTTTGAAAATATATCACGCGTATAATAGATTTTCGATTCGATTAGTATTTTTTACATATTTATAATTTCACTTATATATTTTATCGTAATTTTACCATTTTAATACTTTTCGAATACACTGTGAATTTCAAATTCAATTTAAGGTAAGCATGCATATTATAAAACAAGCTAAGCAATGAAAATGACAAGCTATTTAAAAGCAGGCAAGTTATAGCGCTTACAAATTTAATCGGTGCAGAAAGGAAAAAAATTGCAAGAAAAATAACTAAGTGCAATGCAGCAAAGAGTCATACAAAAAAATGATTATTTTTTCATAAAAATATAATCCATTTTTATTAAATTTGATTTATTTCTTTGAAGATAAAGAGTGCTCAGTTGGTCGAACTTCGTCGGCTTAATGACAAAATACTCATTGCTTCTAACAAACAAGGAATATTACTAAATCTAACAACTCTTCAGTCTTTTAATGTAAATTCAAAAACTGAAATTATTTTTTTTCTCCATAATGAGTCTAACATTTATTTATTTTAAAGTTAATGCTAAACTTTTGTGCTGTATGTATGTATTTAAATCAATAACAATTTAAAGGAAAAAGTAGAGAAAAAAACATTTAAAAGTGCATTATTCGTTTCTTTGCTAAAACAAAAAAAGTGCAAACATATATATTAAAACTGATTACCGAAGGAAACTATAGCCCACATTGCTCACTGAATGTTGGCAGAATGGTACCTGCAACAGGATTGTTAGGATTGTCAGTAGAAAAAACATGCTTACACACAGTTAGTAATTATAAGTTAATACACATTAGTCACTAAACTTTATTAGTTAGTTTGTTAAAAAGATCCTCTTATTATATTCGTTCTAGTTATATTGCTTTTCATTAGTAATTGATTAAAAACATTTAAGAACTCCAAGACAGAATGTTAGTGAAAAAGAAATGATACAATGAATGGTACAATCAATAACTAACGAGATAGAGAAAGCAAAACCATATTACTTAGAAAAATAAAAAGAGGCCATAAATCAAATTGTTTATAGGGCAAAAATGATTCTGTGTTCGTCATGCAAGCAGTGATAAATGGTAAGTAATCGAAAATCCGTTTATGATGTGCCACAGTAGCTCAGGAGGTAGATCGTCGCCTTCTAATGAGGAGACCCAAGTTCGATCCCAGCGTCGGCAGGACAATTTGAATCCCGGCTCGCACCAATCACAGTGCTGATATAAAATATCCTCAAAGATAGACGGATTGTGAGTTAGAATCCCCTTGGAGTAGGGTTAACAGTAGGAGGTTTTCGTTGCTTTCCCTTGTATGTAACGCAAATGCTGGTTAGTTCTATCAAAAATCTTCCACGAAGGCTAGTTTGTTCCAAAGCTTGATCCAGGAGTTCCCTTATCTTCTGAGTTGAGTTCAAAGTTGCAAAGTTCGGGAGCTAAACAATGATAGTCGTAAATTAAGAATCGGGTCGGCTGTTAACGCAGGTTATAAAGTAAAATCCGTTTTTGAAAGCGACCATTAATAAATAAATTTATCTTAAAAGGCCGCTTCTTTTCGATTTTCGAAGACTGAGGAATTAATGGTATTTGGAAACGTTACAAGACTTAGAAAGATGTGGAAATTAAAAAATCGGTCAAATTTCTCCTGGAATCGCATGACAATGCTTGAAACATGCAGGCAATGAAGGACTTTCTGCAAAAATTAAAAATAAATAAATAAATAAACGCTTTATCTCGGCACCCTACTGTTTATATTTTTCTCCATATGATTTTCAATTCTCTTATTAGCTTTAAAAATATCATCGTGGTTACCTTGACGCTAAAGTCAAAGTGGACGACTGGGCTACGCGCAACTGGTGCAAACTGTAACCAAAGATTTTTATGAGCATGACATTATTTGATTAGCGTCTAAGTTGAACAGAAGCTTTGTAAATTGTGGACAACACTTTCGAATTTCAATAAATAAATTGCATTAATAACTCTCCGACTCGTTATTTATTGACTGTGCCTAAAATATTAGAATTTTATTTACTCAGAGCTAAAAATTATCAGAAAATGTTTCCAATCTCGAAATAAAATTTAATTTGAGATTGCTTTTATCATGCGTGAAAGAATAGTTAAATTGAAAATAATTGACCTTTCATATTAAGGAAGCATTGTGAAAATTGTAGAATAAAATATTAAATTTCATCAAAAATAAGTTTATATAAAGACCATGTATCGACAATCATGAATAAAGCTCGCTTTGCTTGCTTAAAGTGCCTGATAAATAGCATCCCAGTAATATATTACATTTAAAAATTTGTTTTAATCTTTTTTTATTTTTTATTTTATGTGCGTCGATGCAAACAATCACATATTTATAAATATAATCAGTACTTTATTCTGATTGTCTATAGTAAGGTAAAAACGACAGTAATGTATGGTATTACATTACTAGGCTATAGATAATATTTCCCATGAGCATATCCGAAATTAAAGAAACCGTAGATTTCTATAGGCAACTATTAAGATAGACAAAAATTTATTATTGACAATAAAAAAGCGCTGTTTAAGTGTATTGCATCGTAATTTCAACAATACAAATTGATTTTAATGTCAAACATAGTTAATATAATTTTTTTTTAAAAAGGAAATAACATTTAAAATGATTTGTAATATCACGCATTTAAATTATTACTTTTCAGAAATCATTACCTCTGAAGTTTTAGGATTGAAAAGGTATTTCAGTTTACTAAATGCATGTATACGAGCTTGAAAATTATAAGAAATAAATTTTAAACAAAAATATAACGAATGATAGTGAAGATATATTGATATTAGTTTTTGATTATAAAGCTGAAATGCAGAAGAATCGAAATTTATCTAGATATTTCTAATTACTTTAATAATTTTAGCGAGCTTCACGCTTGAAAATTTGTTATATTAGTTGATAAGCTAATTTAAAAATATTTTATAAGCATGTAGCGTGAGTATTATTGGCAAAAATATAAGCAGGTGTTTCATAATAACTTTTTATTAATTTTTTTAAATAAAAAATTGCTAAAATGTTTCAGATTATACATGCATTATTTCACACATGCTAATTAGCAAGTAGTTCTTAAGCTTGTTATTTGCATGTTACAAGAAATTACTGACAAGGAGTTAGTAACTAGCATACTATAACTAGCTTTTTAAGTGGGCCAAGGAAACAAAAAACTATCTCTAGTAAAAAATTTTGAAATAGTAAATGCAGAAGAAATTTAAATTGTTAACAAGTAATTTAGTCAATGTAAATATTTAGTGAAATTAAAATAAACTATTGATTGTTAAGAATATTGTAAACATATGTGATACAACATGAAACTTTTAAGTGATCATTAACAATTTAGTAATTATTAACATTCAAAAAAGAAAAGCTTAGAACTGAAGTTTTCCTATTTCCATTATATATATTTTTAAACCATTGGTATTCAAAATGGTCAAAAACAGATTAAAAAAAGAAACTATAAGCATTTAACATATCTTACTTGACAATGACACGAAGAACATGGATCATGAGCAAGAGGTATCTTTTCACCAGGTTTATAAACAATACCATTATATGCACAACCTTTAATTTGGCTATGGGTAGCATTATATTTAAGTAAACATGGATCACTCTCGCATCTTGGACAACAGTCACCTGGTCTCTGTATTGGATTGTCACATGTAACAGGAGGGCATTCTAAGTCCCAACAATCAATTTCATTATGCTGTGAAAATACAAAATATTAATATTTTATAAAGAGGATGCAAAATACACAAAAAACTGTTACTTCTTGAATCTCAGATTAGACACAATGATAAGATTTCTTTTTCATGCAGGGTGGTTATAATTAAATTGACTCTGTTTAGATCCACATAGAGTCCGTTATGGTTGACGGATTGCAATGAAATTTGGTATACGCGCTACATGGACCATAGAGAAATTTATAATAAGAAAATTAATTCAACTTTCGATCATTTGGAAAAAATTGCTCACTCATAGAACAAAACCCAATTTGAAACGCATAACTTTATTGAAGTGAATCATGCCTTATTCTCAATATGTTTCCCATTTTTATCAAGCACATGTTCAAAACGTGTTATAGTGTAATCAAGTGTAGCGCGTAGAGTTTCTCGATCTATTGAGGCAACATATAGTCGATATTCTTTCCCTGCGCAATAGCTGTTGTTCTGATAAAACAATTTTAGCTGAAACACTCGTTCTTTCTAATGTAATGACACGGTGGAGAATGATTGTTAAGGGGGTGACTGACTTTTGGCCTACAAAAATTACACCAAATTAATAAATACTTTTCTGTACATGAAAAGCGCCCACTGTTTGCTGTGAATTTGAACTATATTTTATTGTATAAATAAATAAACAAAAATGGCAAAATGCTCAAATAGTGTTTAATTGACCCCATTTTAGAGCTGCTATGTCTAGAAGAACAAACAATGAACAATGGTTAAAATATTTTGCAGGAAAATGTGCAAATTAAAGTTACATCACTATAAAAAACATTTAATTTCAATAGTACATTAATAGTTAGAGTTTAAAACTAGCTTGAATTAATCAATAAATAATATCCATAGTGTTTTTTTCAACATTAAATATAAAATTCTATTGAATTTGAATCGTAACCAATGTTGATTAGTTAGATTACTTTAATTTTTTTTAAATTAGAAAGGTAACTAAGTCCCAGAAACTTCAAAGCGTGAAGTTCATAAAAAAAGCAAATTTCTTTGTTAATTTAGTGATGAAAAATTTAAAAAAATATTTTTCTCCTTTAAAAATTTTCCTTAAAAGATGATTTTATTTGTAAATTATCGATCTAAAGTTAAACAACTCACCAAACATTCGCATGTTTGACATTGGTATATCCATTGATCACCATTATGAAATGATTGCGTTGTTTCTTGATGCTGACATGTTGATGCATGATCACAGTGAGGGCAACATTCATAATCTCTTTTTGTACAATCACATTCAACTGGCTCACAAGATACTATTCCTTTTTTACAATGACATATTGTGCATGATTCACTCTGCCAACTTTCCCCATGTAGGCGCTCTTCACCATAATAGAGGCAATCTATAATCAATTCTTTAGTATCTTAATTCAATTAAATTAAAATTAGAAATAAAATAAAATTTTATATCAAAATTATAATACTTTTTTAAAATAAACTTGTTCAAATGCAAAACAGTTAACGTACAATATAGATTATTAGAGTTACTTAAAAAAAAAAAAAAGCTGGAAAATTCGTAACGCAGAAAAATTTGTAACGAACTCGTCGCAGAAAAAACTCGTAACGTTTTAACATCCAAATAAATAAAGCTTGAATTTTATGCAGCAAATAAAGTTATGACATCGTGAAAAAGCATAGTATCGCATGAAATTACCTAGAATGACTAAACTAGAAGAGTGGTGATAACAAAGAGAAGAGTTCTGGATGATCTCTATTTTTTTGTGGACAAGGCTGAACCTCCGTTCTAGTTCTAAAGCCTGTAGTTCTCACTTTCTTCAATTTAGGCAAACTAGTATCGCATAAAAAGGCCATACAATCGTTATGGTACGATAATGAAGATCCTTCAGTACCGAAGCACAGAACGATAAAGTTGCGTCATCGTAGTACTGGAACAGGAACGGTCATACGTCCATTTTATATTATACTATGTACTTTTTCACCTTTTTTTAAAACAGTAATTTAAAAATTATCGGAAAAATTAGTATCAAAATTAATTGGAAGCTAAGAAATTACGTCAAGTTAATCTTATCATTAAATTAACGCCAAATTGATCCTTAAAATTTTTAACAGAAATTAAAATAAAAACTTACTTAATGAACAGGAACTATTTTCTAAGCATTCACAATGATAACCACCATCATCATTTACACATAAACTTGATAGATCGCAAGTATGGCTTCCAGTCAAACATTCATCAATATCTACAAAAAAACGACACAGTTTATTATTAAACACTTCGTTTTCTCTAATAATAGATTAATAATAGACTGACTTCGTCGAATAACAGACATATGGTAGAAAATATCAGATTTAAATTGCCAAAGGAATATTATCCTTTCGGAAACTCTCTGAAGTTTAGAGGTAATGGTTTCGATTCTTGACATAATTTGTTGCATTTTTCACACTCTTAGTGATGTTCTTCTGAGATGTGTTCTCGAAATTTGCAAAGACTAATATAAGTTATTATATCACACAATCCGATACACTTGTGTATGAATTAATAAAGAAAAAATTATGTCATTAGAAAGTTTTAGAATTGCAGAATTCGAATTATTTCCTAAGAACTACAACATTTTATAATCAAGCAATTTTAAAAGATTAGTTAAGATAACAAATTAATCGAAATAAATACCGTATGCTATAAGAAAAATATTGTTGGTTGGTTTTATTAATAATCCTAGAGGCAGTTTTACCCTAACACTCGCCTTATTTTGGTCATTGTATGAAATAAGTAATAATTTTTTGGAGATTCAGCAAAAGTTACTAAGTTAAAAATCTCAAATAACGAGATATTTACTTCTTTAATTCCTGCACTTAGCGAAGTTTCAGCATGATTTCAGCTCTCGGTGTTACAGCTTATCGGGAAAAGATCTGTAAACTCTGATGTTTATTATGGTAATTTAAAATTTATTGAATTTAAACGTATTTTCTTAAAAAGAAATATAACCAAAAAAGTACTACGTTATCTAAAGACATTTTGAAGCTATAATGTGAAATGCGAACAATGAATTACTTGTATACAACTTCTGAACTGATCTATTTGTCATAAAAACCAAGAAGATTTATCATTCCTAAAATACTGTCCAAAGTAGTGTTGGATAGCATATGAGCAGAAAATCATGACATAAGCATATGCAAATGGCCACAACAATTGTTCAATTTTCAAAGCATCTGGTACCCAAATGAGCGATGTAAGGACGATAGAGGATTCTTATGAAAATATTAAGTAATATGCGTATAAAAATAATGCACTGCATTAGTATTTACCTTGGCAGTAAGGTCCTAAGCTATCATCTGAATGACTTTCATAACCTGGCCTACATTCACAATAATACCAACCAGGCATATTTACACATTGTGAGTTGGGTTGACAAGCATGAAGACCAAGTGAACATTCATCTACATCTGTTTCGCATATTGTGCCTGTGTAACCTGGTAAGCAGGAGCATAAATCTGGAGCAACACATTCACCACCATTTAAACATTGTTGAGTGCAAACAGCTGGAAAAAAATTTAAAGTTTATGCAAAGATTTGCTTCAAATGCTTCTAGAGAAAATGTCTTATAAAAATGCTTATTATAAAAAAATTTGTTATTTTAATTGTTTTTCTTAAAATTAGAAGATTTTAGAAATGTGGATATTCATAATACATGCATTTATTTTACATTCATTAAAAGATTAATTAATTTTAGAATTGAAAATTCAAATAATAGAAATTATTTCTAAAACATCTGAAAAGCATTTAATTTGTCTGTAGCGTGTTTCACGATGTTTTCTTATATGAATCAGTTTAACGTTAAACCATAATATCGACTCCTTGAACTATAAAACAGCACAAATTTGCTACAACTTTAATTAGTAGTTAAATTGAACCATGCTTTTGTTGGAGTTGAATCATATTATTGTGTAATCTAGCTTAAGAAGTTCAATTAATAGAAGTGTTTGGTTCAATTTAGCAACATATTAAGGTAAGTGCAAATCTGAAAAATATTATGGTTCAACACACTCAAACATTTCGAAAAGTGTAGGTTAATAATGCATTAGCTGTTATAACATTAGAACTATGCAGAAAACATTTCTATGATTTTTTTAATCCTGATATTTAAGAGGTGTGTTAACTTGGAATCAAAATAAGGTTAAAAGCTTAATAAGAGAACTCACGTTTACATTCGTAGCCATCCCCTGAGTATCCATCTTGACATTTGCAAGTATAACTACCAGCTGTATTTAAACATAGAGCATTTTCATGGCAAGAATGTTCACCAGTGCTGCATTCATCAATCTCTAATAAATTAAAGGAATTAGTAACGAGTTGTTAGATGAACAAGAATAAAACAGTTACGGGCAAAACACCTCAATTGTAAATAATATTAACTATAATAGTCAGTATTTAGAAAGATAAGCTTTTTAATGAACCATTTAATTGAGAATAACTTATAAGATGGGCTAGTCAGCATTTTTTTTTTAAACTACAATAAAACCTTTTTGCAAATGATATTGCTTTACCTTTCGATTGACAACTTTTCGATTATTGATGGATTGCACATTCGTTTAAGTGGCAGTTAGCTTGACAATAGTTCATCCCGCGAACCGAACTTTGTTCTTAAAAGGTTTATCATTTGAAGATAGGTGTGCCATTTCATACCATCCTATTGAAACCAAGGGTTTTATTTTAGTTTATAACCGGAGCTGAACAGCTGACCCAATTCTGAGATTACGACTATCAACGTTCAACTCTGTAGCCTTGTAAGTTTGAACCTAACTCAGAAGACAAAAGAACTCCTGGATTTAGCATTGGGGACAAAGTAACCTTCGTGGAGAACTTTTTAATGGAACTTACCCACATTTGCGTTATATGCAGATGAAAACCGCGAAAACCTCCCATGAACTTTAACCCATGACCCGTTACTATTACTGAGTTTATTTTGTGTCAGCACTGTTTTTTGTGGGAGCCGAAAGCAGAATTTGTAACAGCCAGTCATCTCTAGGATTCGAGCCTGGATCACCTCATCGGGAAGCGAGTGCTCTATACCCTGAGCCACTGCGGCTCTGAAACCAAGGGTTGTGAAGTACGTGTATTCAATTTCTGGCCAAAAGCGGCGATCAGTAGAGATGATATCCTATGTAGAGCTGTAACAGTGTTATAGTAGTAGCATTGTAATATTCTCAGTTGTACATGCTGTACGAATACAGAGATCATTTCAGTTTTGTCCACTAGAATGCCTGTTTCACAAACGTGCTTTACAAATTTGGGTTCAGATGGTTGGCGATTTCTTTCCAAAAACCCTACTGTTTCAGCAGCGCAGCCCTTATTTTAGCAATACGTTCTAATTATTTTTCAACGTTGATCGAGTGTAAATGGAATTAATATGATTCTTGGAGATATAACATTGTATTCTAGTCGATATTCAGAACGTCAGACAACTGTTACTCTTAAAAGACGATGCTTCACCCTTTACAATATACAAAATGAATTTAAGAAGTTTTTTTTCTCCTTCTACTTACCAGCACAGTTAAATTTATCAACTCGTCCATACCCTGGAAGACATTCACATACGTAATCTCCTCGAAGATTTACACAAATCGTGTTTTCTCTACAGTGATGACCATCATGTCCACCTTCTCTTTGACACTCGTCAATATCTGGAATTTAAAACAAATTACACATTATTATACAAAATAATGAAAGAAGAAAAAAAGACAAAACTGTATTTTATTTTCGGGCATAAAAGGTAAACGCAATAGAGTTGAATGTAATAGTAGGAATGCTGCATCAATATCCTTTCTTTTTAAAAAATTATTTCGAACAATTATTGCTTTGTGGTCAAGATTTTATTGACAATACTATTTCGGATTAAATTTTATGCTTAACAATTAATTTTCAATTAAAAGTAAACAGAGAATAAAGAATTTTCATGTAAATGCTGGATTGCTACATAAGTAGAGATTAAAAATTGTTAAATGCACATTCATTGTATCCACTGGGCGACTTTGTTCTGCTTGGAAACATATTGCCTAAAGTTAAAATAATCAAATTTAAAATATAATTTTATTACCTGTACAGTGTCTACCATCTCCTTCGAACCCTCTATTGCACTGGCATTTATAATGTGTATTCAGATTCATACAAGAAGCATTTCTATGACAGTCATGACCTTTGCCACAATAATCAACACCTAAAAAGAGAGCACAATTTAATTCATTTATATATGGTATAAAAATTTACTTCATACCACGCTTATTAAAATAAAGGGAAAAAAGAAACTGTTATTGTTATTATTGCAATGTGACAAGTCATACTTTTTTTTCAAACGTGATATTCTTGCATCAAACTGTTCTTTATTATTATTTCCTTTATATAGTTGTATAAGGATCAGAGACAACTTATTGTCGACATGAAAATAGCGTTATTTTTCACCAAAAATATCCTTTAAAGACGCTCTCCTGAATATTTCGAAAATGTGGTTTATCATTATGTTGCCGACAAACATTCAGTTATCTTCATATTTTTAGAACTAATTAAATGCGGATAAATGGACATAAGAAAGTAATGAAATATGGTACCTGGACAGAAATTGCAACATTCATCAGGAGCACTAAACTGCTCCTCTTCCGGACAATCTAGAACAGGACAGCTTACTTTAGGATCGATTCGTCTACAATGCATACTACCATTCTGTGGAAACAAAGCGCTTATTTAGTATTCTACAATGCATATACTGCCAATCAAAAGAAAAAAAACGCTATTTCGTATACAGTTCAATTATTTCAAACAAAACCTTAAAAATACAAAGCTATGGAATTTTGTTTAAGTAAATCACTTTGCACTCAAAAAATAATCACCGTCACCCTAAAATAATTTAACCGGTTATCCATTAAAACTGAACAGCAAAGCTAAGGGTTATAACATATATTTATAAAATTATTTTTATTATGCACTGAAATATATTAGTATGGAAACTATCTAATAGATTAATAAGTGGAAAAATATTTTTTAACATCATATTAAAAACTTTTAAAGATATCTGTTGTTTATTAAGCGAAGGAAAGATTTAAACGAAGCATTCGCGTGGTTGCAAAATTAGCAGAAGATACTTTCTGCAAAAAATATCAGAATAATAATATCAGAAAATAATAATTCAAGTTATATTTGACAATTTCTTTTTGCGTTAAAGTTAAATAAAGTTTCCAGAGTACTTTTAAATTATGATAATTTTGTCACAATTTTCTCTCATTTAGTTGTTATTTTTGAGCAAATGAGGAATTCGTAGAAAATTAAATTTAACGGAGTGTTTAACTCAACACGTGAGGTATATTTTGAATATAAAACCCACTATTTTACGTTTTGATTCGGATGTTGTCGCCTATTTAAAGAATTAAAAGGCACATAAAAACAAATAACATATTTCATAAAAGAGAATGATAATTTCAACATGTTGAACTTCTCATCAAGCTCGAAATGTTCAATCTTTATTCATTAATATATAAATATTAAAGCAAATAAATATAAAATTTATGCTTACAATGCATTCACACTTTGCACATTTAATAGGACTGGTCTTCTCACCATGGTCATAAAGAGTATTTTCAAACAGGCACTTTTCTAAAATAGAAAAAAAATGAAATTTTAGAAACGAAGAATTTCCGATTGATTCAATTTTTATTTTTGCATATATCAAAATATTTCACTAAAGAATCTTTCACAGATTGCTGATCATTTTGTTCTTAAAAAAAACATCAACAAAGTTTTTATTTTTTTAATAACAACAGAAGAACCTTTTCAGATTGAGAATATTTTAATATAGCTTTGAAATTTGTGTATAAAAATAGTTCAGAACTCAAAAGTAAAAAATATCATGCAAAATTAGCAACGAGAAAAAAAAAGACTGCGAAAATATTTCCTATTCAAGTTAGATTATAGGAAGTTTTATGTCACATCATTTAAGTTTAACCATAAGGGTTTTCTCAATTGGGCTCTGATCTTTGACAAGATCTTGCTTTAAAAGAGTCAAACGGTAAAGTAACTAGCTACTGAAACTCCCTAAAATATACGATCAACAAAAACCAATTGTGGTTTATTTGCTGTGCTATTCATTGGTTGCTTTATCTGTTATTATAGGTACTACAAGTACAGATCGTGGTAGTTCCAGTTCAAACGTGCGTGTTTTTTAACTGACCTGACTTTTGCTTAATAGCACGCTTAATTTTTTTTACTCGTTTAATATTCTTTGATTAGAAAAAGTCAAATTTATTCTTATTGGACTTTTTTTAATAAGAAAAAAAGTCCAATTTATTCTTATTTTCATAATTTTTCTCCAGTTTATTTCAAATTAATCATGACAGATTTACATAAACGTATTTTGTACGATGCATCTATAACAGCAGAATTTAAGATTTCTTTACTACAGTTACGGCAATTATTGTAGAAGATATATTTTTATCGGTTTTTTCTGAACAGGTTTCTTAGGTTAAAAAAGATTAAAATTTTCATACTTACTGAGACAAACCGGACAGCACTCTCCAGGAACATGAACCGGATTTTTACATTGAACAGACGCACATGTAACAGGCGCACACTTAACTTCACCATGCTACAAAAATTTAGTATACATCAAAATAAGCACACATTTAATTATTTTAATTTAAACATGTTTACTGGTTTTAAATTAAGAAAAAAGCATTAAAGCTTAGTAATAAGGATGTTAACTGCTATTCATTAATTTTTTTTTTACTGTTACTAATAAAAATGATGATAGAACAAAAGTTAAACTGTTTCAAATTTTCCACATTGTCAGCACCAGATAATGGAAAATTATATATTTTCCATTATCTGACAAATTAGCAACAGAATTTTTAACAGAAAAAAAATCCTCTTTGAAACATTGTTGTTGAGGGAATATGCATGCTGACAGAGTTGAGAATGGCTCATTAGCTATAAGAAGTCACGATAATATTTTTCAAATATTTTTTACTACTGTCTAACTAAGCAACTATTTAAAATCTGGTTGATTCAGTTATTAAGTATATAAAAATTAAGAAGTATCATTTCTTTGGATTGTAAATAAGTAATCTCAGTAAAATGTTTCATTCGTCATTTCTTTTTGTGAATTTTGTGCTTAATTTGTCAAATTGAATCTAGACTGCCACAAAGAAACTTGATCTTTGTTTCGGAGGAGCTCGGATTTAAAGTCTTCGACTTGTGGCACGTAATTTACGTTCGATCTTTGTTTTGGGAACACTGATTTAAAATCTTCGTGCCACAAAAAAGTTAACTCGGATTCATCTCTAGACTGAAAGCGTTTTATCTTTGAATAATTAATATTATTGCTACTAAGTACGATAATTTTAAAATTGTTATTTCTTGTGTTATAAACTTAAACACATACACAAATAATTCAAATAAGATTTTAAAATATTTTAATTCAAAACTTATTAACTGCATTTTATAGATAATTAAGCAAAAAAAAAAAATCATCTAATTAGATCGAACACATTTTCAGATAAAAGTTTTGTAAATTGGAAGAAGTGAATACACATTTTAATCCCTTATATGTTTTGGAAATTCATCCTAATTAGAATTTTGTGTGTAAAATTAGAACTTAAATGTTATTCTTACCACACAAGAGCATATATCACATGCATGTTTCCATGTTGAACCATCGGGATGTGTAGAACCATTGAAAATGCAACTTTTTTGGCATTCACACTGTTGTAATGATGAAATATGATGTTCTGCGTTAGCTAGCTGAAATAAAAATATTTTTCTAGATTTTTTAAGAATACTTTTCATCACCGAATGAAATTGATTTAAAAATTGTTTCCAATTATAATGCATCATTTCACATATCTTTAAAAATAACTTTTACTCGAAAAACACGATTTATTTCCAATCCAGACGGCATGAAAATAGTTGCCAAATGCTAATGATGGTTAAATAATAGACCATATAACAGGAGTTTTATTCCCCCTCACCCAGGGGGAATTTCATAGTTTGAGGGGGATGATTACAATTGCTTCTTTCTGCATTGCATCTTTAGAAATTGAATTTAGGGAATACTTTCCCATACTCTCTGATATGAAGTATCCATTTAGTTTTTCTGTTGAAAGATTCTTCTTAGCAAGATGAGTTTCTTGAACTATAAATGGATTCATAAGCTTTTAAAGAAGTCACTTACTGAATTTTGGACTTTCAAGTGTGAGAGAGACAAAAAGACGGCTCTGGTTTTTATTTATGTCAATTTATCTTTGTCACTCAATGAAATAAATTCATTGTTGAAAGTATCATGTAGTGCTTTTTCAAAAAATATTTCGTGCTTAAAAAATTATCGAAAGAAAAAAAAAATCCCTGTGATCTTATTGAACAAAAAAGACTAATAATACAGTTACTTGCAAGATCATTCATTTTTTATTAATTTAATTATTTTTAATTTATTTAGTTAGTTAGTAATAATATAATATATAGTTAGTAGTTCGTGTATACCATAAATAGTTAGTTCGTGACTTTAAAAAATGTCCTCAGTCAAAAGTTTCCTTGTTAGATGAAGTCTTTCTACTTCAGTTGTATTTATTTATTTATTTATTATTTTAAATAAATGCAACAGGAACTGAACTTTAGCTCTGATAAACAAGCAATTTAATATCTCGTTACACATTATGCTGTGAGATATGTTGTTTCAAACTTAATTTGATCGTTAACAATTAATCCAATTGCATTACAATGCAAAATAAAAAAATGTAGTGAAAAAAATCTTTCCAAAATTTAGCCATTTTTTTTCAGTTTTTCATCAGGTAAAACTTAATTAATATGTGATACACGCCATTTTAAATACATAAGGAATATGAAGGATGAAGTTTATTTTTATGATAAGAAATAATAATAAAATATTAAAACTTACCCGTTCTGTAAGTAGTTTGATGTGGTTTTCTAGCTGAAGAACAGATTTTTGTAATTGTTGGAATTGACCACATGTTGGGCAATCTAAAATTTATATCGTAATAGTACATTTATAAAGATGAATAATAAAACTAATAAATGAATTCATTAAGTCACAAATATAGTTACATTCCTTAAATCATAAGTTTAAAAGAATGTAATTACATCTATGACTTAATGAATTCAGTTGGTTATATTTTAATAATTTTATTTTTTATTGATTAATTTTGATTTTTTTCCAGAATTGCTTGTTTCTCCTAGATTTTTCTGTCAATTTAAACAAATTCGTTAAAAAAAAAACATTTAGCTAAAACTGTTATTTGGTTAGGATTTAATAGCAAATAACCGGATGAAGTAATGCTGAATAGAACCGTACTACTCTGAGCAAAATTTAACAAAATTCAGTCATAAATTATGTCAGACCAAAAAGGAGCCGAGAAACTAATAGAATCATTGAAGAAACTTAAGGTTGTGGCTCCAGTATTTATTCTAAAAAATTAAACCGCATGAAGCGAATTAAAATATTTACAAATATATTTCAATTATGAAACTGGTGTACATATATGGGTCATTCTCACAAAAACAGTCATTTTCATGTCCCCAGTATATTTTATGTTTGTTTTACAGCTTACGAAAAAACAATATTCAGGGAAAGCGTCCTTCAGAATGCAAGCTAACAAAAGAATAAAAATAAAATTATCAATTNTATTCACTTTACTTTTTTGGGATTTTATGAACTGAAAAATGACAGTTTTCGTGAGAATGACCCATATATATTTTACGAGAAGTCATAATTATTTCCTATGTGAGTTCATACTTTGAAATCTACAAATATTTTCGAGTAAGTAAAAAAAGGTTCGTCTTTTATATTCTACAGAATTCTCGCAATAATATGCAAGGTCACAATTAAAATAATTTTAAAGCTTAAACTAGAGGACAGTTTTAAATAATATTTACTATTTTGTAAACAAATACAGTCTGTTTAATAACTGATTCCTTTAACAGAAAATTTAGAATACTTGTTTGTCAATTTATTCCATATCCGATTAGCATTTATCACGCGAATTAAATATAATGGCGAAGTACTAGAATAGACATGTTATGACCTTACTTTACTTTTTGGTGAATCTAACTTGTTTAACTGTGTCTTAATCTTATTAAATAGAAATATTAAACTGTATCCATTTTTCGCAACATTGAGGACTATTTGTTGAAAAAGAAAAAAAAGAGCTTAAACTAAATACTATTTTTTTTTGTTAACGATATCATAAAGTTTCTTTTTTGAATTATGCTTTTTGATAATTGGTGTTCATTAAAGAATAGACAGACAATTTTTATTAACGTTTGATTTAGTACAACATTACCTCATTTATAATAAAGATTTAATGTACAAACCTGTATCTAGATTTGGACACTGTATTAGATAACCATGCGCTTCTGCAGCAATTTTTACATCTTGTAAATAACCCTGAGAAAAAAAATATTTTGTTAGATATTTGTAAGGAAGATTAAATCAGGTTAGCAGGTGAGTAAGTTAATTTTTACCTTGTACATAAAATGACGTGCGTTTCTTTGACCCAACCATAAGGAAATATTTCGTCCACTAAAATTATATTCAATGTCCTGAATTAATCGCCTATAAATACGATTGCAATCAATATATAAGTTAACAGTATTTCCACTGACGCTTAAAGCTATTTCATGCCAATTCTTGTCAGCTAAATGATATGGGAATGTTTCAACAAAAGTAGAGTTTTTGTGAGTGTAATGCAAACGAACTTCATCTTTCCGACCACTGCTTTGAAGCTCCAAAAATCTAAACGGAAAAATAAATTATATAATTAAATATATATTATAATATATATTCTATATAAATTTTACATATTATATTAAACTTTATATATAATATATATTTTATATATAAAATTTATATAGAATATATATTATAATATATATTCTATATAAATTTTATATATTATAGTATATATTTGACATAAATTTTATATATTATATTGCATTAAATTTTATATATAATATATATTTCATATAATATGTATTATAATATTCTATATAAATGTTATAGATTATATTACATAAAATTTTATATATAATATATATTTTATGTATTATATTTTATATAATATACATGTGTATAATATACATAATGTATATTACAATATATATTTAAAAGATATTATGTATATTAAAAAATTATATTATACATACATTATTTAAATACATTCTTAGGTTTTTAATTTAATGGAAATACATTGATGTTACTTTTTCACAGTAACGAATAGTTGTTACATGTGAGTCATCAATTTCTCTTTCAGGTCAAAAATAGAATTCTGTAAAAGTTTAGTGAATTAATGAGGCAAACTTGAATAAAGAGTAAAACTAAAATCATGCAAACTTCAAATTTAAAGTTTTTAACTATCAATGTTTGGGGGTGATAGGCAAATGCCCCTTCTATATCAAGCCCTGCAATATCAGGCCCTGCAGGGGACTTCGTGAAGGATTTGGTGCAAACAAAGTCTTATCTTCCTAGCCCCATTCTAGGAGGCTTTGGTACAACCCTTTAGAAATGTTCTGAGAACCCAACTTTAAAAAATATTTGATCATATTTTCTCAGAAAGCTTACTATTTCAAACGAATTTTATTCAAGATTAGACAGAGAGTAAAAACAAAAAAAAAACATAAAAGATTTTTTTGATGAGTGAAACTTTCGCCCAAATGAGTTAAGAAAATGGCGTTCAAGTTATCTGAGTTTGAAATTCTCATAAAATAGAAAGCTACCTAAAATAACATATTTAAAATCTTTTAAGCATCCACATTATTTTTATCCATGTTTATGAGTCATAAGATACAAAAAATATATACTAAAAGTATGAAACTACAATGGTTGACAAAATTAAGTAAGAAACTAATTATGCAGTTAAAGGCAATAACTTTCTATTTCTTTGAATACTTTAAAAAAAAGGAACACTAATCTACTTATTTTAGAAAGTATATCCGCTGGAAATTTTTTTATGGCAAAATATACTTTTAATTCACAGAATAGTATTAATTTCAAACCTTTTACATAATTCATTTTTTATATTAAAAAAAGCAAAATTTTACCTTTATTATTATTAGTTCGCAAAACTGAATTTCTTCAAAGTTGTTTTAATCCATAAAAATAAGTCAAAATTTAGATTACCTCAAATCATAACAGCTGTTATAAATTTTGAATACATTCAAACTACAAGTAAATAGAAAGCATTTACAAGAAAAGAGTATTATGATATATTCTTTAAAGAAGATATAAACTTGAATGAGAATTGCTTGTCAACCAATGTACTTTCCTTTGATTTAATTCTAAATGATTGCACCTCAAGTAATTTAATGAAAGAGTAGACTAAAAATGAAAAAGTAGAAATTCTAGACTAATCACGAAAAAGCAGAAATTCTAGACTAATCATGAAAAGGTAGAAATTCTAGACTAATCATGAAAAAGTAAAATTATAGACTAAATTTGAAAAAATAGAAATTTTAGAAGTACGAGACAAACTAAAATTTAACCTTACCTTTCATTTCCGTTAGCAAATGAAATGATTGTCCCAGAATTTTTTTCCTCTTGTTTTAATGTTGCTATGAAACTAAACTCATTTGTCACAGACAAATGATTTGCAATTTTCTGCAACATATCTGCAGGCATTTGTAAATGCCTGGAGTCACCTAAGAAATAAATATTTCTTTTACTCAAGTGCATTTATTCAGAGAATTCATAATTTGTATTGATATTGTACTTTTACAAATTTCAGAATAGAAATTAGAAACATTTAGAATTTTTGTCTATTTAAATAATGAGTATCACATTTTAGATATAAAGGCGTTTAAAAAAGGCGTTTTTTAATAACTTAAAATATGACGGATTTAAAATTTATGTAAATATGTTTTGATTGAACGATTTCTCATATTGCAGAAATAACAGCAATACAGTACTGGCAAAAAAAAAAAATCTTGGCAAGGTCAAAGCAAGCGCAAGCATAAAGTTTAAAAACTTTGTTTTTTTGATTAATTCCATGTTTTTGCACAAAGTTTAATGTATCTTAAACTTGTTAAAAAATCTCGACAAGCTAAAAGTTAATTGTCAAGATATTTTTAATCTTAAATATGACAATGCGTTTAAAGTGCCAATTTTTTTTTATCGCCTCAGTATCAATAGAAAACCGCAGATGTATGAAATTCTTTTTATGGTTTCAAGATTTGACTGCTTAAAAATATTTATAGAAATATAAGTATGAATATTTAGTTTTGCGCAGTAAAATGTTGATGAATTTAAATGAAAATGCAATGAATTTGTAATGTTATTGTTCTTAGCATACTGTTCAAGCTCTAAAAAGAGAAAATTTTATACTAATATGACCTTTGTTAAAACTACTAAAATTTACACGCCCTAAATACAACCCCTGAAAAAAAAACTCTTTTCCTTGATCATATTTTTTAAAAAAAAAAGGTTTAAACTGATTACAAAATGGAAGAATATATTAGAGAGAAATTTTAAAAGGGTATTTTTTATTTTAAAAATATTTGGGTGAGCCGGGGTAAAATAGGGGGGAAATGGGCGCACTCACACAATTCTATTTATTGATACATTAAATGACAACATAATGGTCGGAAAAAGAGAGGATGCAATAGCGATTACTAACTTAAAAAAAGTTGTAACAAAAAAAATGAGCCCCATTTATTTTATTTAATTGCAATGACATGAATAAGACGACGCTATGATTCGATGTATTATGTGGGGCATAAACCAGGCGGTGATCGAATTTTACATGCTTGACGGCAATCTCGCAACACTTTACCGCAACACAGTACCGTTTGGAGGAAAATGAGTCAAGTGCATTCGGGTTAAGATGATCTCAAAGAATTGTAGCATCCTACTCGCATGAAGGAGTATAAAATACTAGAGGTTGGATTAAAGAATACACGATTTAAAAAAGATATTTTTTAATTAAACATTGCATTTGTATGCACAAAATGTGATCCTTCAAAATAAGGACTTTTAATTTTGACAAAAATCAACAACATCATATATTATATATATACATTCGCCTTCCAATGCGGTGAACCGGGTTCAAATCCCTGTGACGGCTGGAAGATACAAATTCTGCACCTGGCTGAACTGCCACAGTGCTGACGTAAAATATCCTCAGCTGTAGGCGGATCATGGGTTAGAGTCCCCCTGACGTCAGTCTAACTGTGGGAGATTTTCGTGGTTTTCCTTTCTATCTAACGCAAAAGCTGGTTAGTTTCATTAAAAAGTCCTCCACGAAGGCAAACTGCTCCCAATACTCGATCAAGGAGTGCCCTTGTCTTCTGGATTGGGTTCAAAATTACAAGAAACATTGGTAAACATTGGTAGTCGTAAACGAAAATTCGGTTGATTGTTCAACGACGGTTATAAAAAAATAAAATCTACCTATACCATAAAGTAAAATAATCAAAAATAATTCAAATGGACTATACAAAATCAATTTTAGGATACGGCTCACAATAAATCACTGGAAATTTCAATAATGTGGGTTTTTGCAACCCCCCCCCATTTGACGATAAAATAAACTGAAATACGTTTACAGAAAGCATGGGACAACTCTATTTTTTTAAAAATATGTATGTAAAAGTTTTTTCGTTGTTTAAACAACTGTCTTGTCCTGTCAAGAAATTTTCAGTTTAAAGTGCCCGCTTAGAAAGATATTCAAATAGGAGTTATCAAGTAAGTGAACATGTCTTATTTTTCCGAAGGTGAAAAATACTGAGTTGACTGCTGAGCATTGGTTTAAATTTTATTATTGCTAGGGAGAAGAATTGTGTAAAAAAAGAGCATCCAAGCTTTTCCATGATATTCGATAATTTTTTATGCTTAAAAATACTTAAAAGATATGCATGAGGGGTTAAAATATGGTAATCACTAAGACAATAAAGTAAGAACGAGGCGGTATTTTTTCCCAGAACAGAGCCCTTTCTAATGACATACACGCAGATATATTATTTTTCACGAGATGAAAAGAATTGTTTGCCCATGTTATTGTTTATCTTTATGAAAAGATCCCGAAGTATTTATTGCTTACATTTTTATTTCAAAATCGTTTTACAAAGTTCAAAAAAATAAATATCTCGTTATCTCTTAAATAAGTTACAGAAAAACTAAAACAAGTAGTAAATTTATTGTTGAATAAAAATCTGAAATTTTCGGAAAAAAAATTTAATATGCAAATCTAGAATGACATATTTAAAAATTATTCAGTAAATTACATGTTGATACTTTTTGAAATAAAATGAGCTAAAATTTGTAGTTATTTTTAGCTGCAGAATTGAATAACAGTGATTAAATTTATATAAATTTAAACAATTATTTTTATATTCCCTTTCGAACCATTAGAAGAAAGTAATTTTCATTGAAACAATACCTCAATATTAAACCAAAACAATATTAAGGACTTTTGCTGTTGTTGTTGGAGGCGAAAAGTAACCAAAATATTTCCAATTTTTTTTTCTTTTATAAGGATTTGCTTTTGCATTGAACAGAAGTTTCGCAGCTTTGAAATAAAGAAACTAAAAGTAATATGAAAAAAGTAATAAGTAAATTTAACATTGTAAACTTTATTTCATGTGAAATTCCAATGCAATTAAAGACTATATTAACCCATGAATTGTAAACTGTTTGCTGAAAAGAAATCACTTTATTAGTTTCATGCTTGATAATGATGGGAAAAGTATGTGTATTTGCACAAATTAAATAAAAAATAAAATATAAAAATAAATAAGTAAAAATTGAAAAAATAGAGGATTCAGAATTTGGTCCTCCCATTTTTATTTTTAAATCACAAATATAGCATAACAATTAAAATTGACTTACTTTGCGTAAATGGGATATTTGGAATTGAACTAAGAACATCCAATATATTTATTAACAATGTATTGTAACCTACCTCATTTTCGAAATAAGTCTTTTGTAATAGCGTCTTCTTAAATACCCCGAATTTTGCGAATAAATTTTGAAACTTATTTATTAAAAACCTTTTACTTACCAATTAAATATTTGAATATCAAAACATGTTCAAAATTCCCATTTCTCATATTCTCATAGTAAGGGATGGACTTAAAATTTACTTAATATTTAAAGTAAGCAGTTTATCAAATAAATAAAACTAAAATGTTCATTTAAAAATAAAATAAAGGGTAAAATTTAAGAAATAATCAAAAATGCACTCAGAAAATGTTCACATAGAAACAAAAATAAGTGTTGGTACAAAATTAATTTGCATATGTTTAGGGGAAGATTTTGAAAAGTAATTATAAAAATAACAAATAAATGTAAACTTCGAATTAAAGTAGTAGAATTTTATAATAATACATATTTATCATATCAATTTACATGTTGGCATTTAAAGTGGAAACATTTAATGGAATTATGAAGTTGCATTAATTTTGAATATAAAATTACCTTGAAGAAGAATAGCAGGAGATAGATGATGAATACCTTCAACTACAGTAAGGCCAGAATAAGTATTATTAAAAACTCTAAGTCCTTCTATAAGATCAAACTGATGCTTCGTATCAACGTGAAAACCTGAGGCTGAAAAATAAAAATTAATAAATTAGATTGAAATATTTTGCAAATATGAAATTGTTTATTTTTGCTCCTTATATAATTGCGAAAAATAAGCTAAAATGGTAAAAAGTGTTTTTGATCAAAACTGTAACTCTTGAAAAAAAAATATATTTGAAATGTTTGAAAACTAAAAGGAAAATATTGCACTTCATAAGGATATATTACACCTATAAATTATATTCATTTGTTTTACAAATATAAAATAATCTATTTTTTTCCATTACGTAATATCAGATATGAAGCTGAATGACAAAAAGTGTAAAAACATGGGATTGAAAGTAATTCATGTAATAATTTTTTTAAAAATATACATTTGCCTCTTTTTGTCTCCTACGAAATATTCGATAAAGAATTAAATCGTGAAACTTTACAACTGTACAATTTTTTTGTCGCTTACGTCGAAATTAAAATGGGGGAAAAGTAAAATAAATAGCACGAGATTGGAAAAAAAAAATTTCTTCATAAAACAATTATTAAAAAAAATTCATATGAATGTGTTATAAGTATTGATTCACCCATCTTCGCCCGTTGTTTAATAGCCATTGAGGAATTAAAATGAAAAAAAAAAAAAAAAGAAATAGTAAAGTATGTTTAGTTAAATTAAAAGAAGAATAAAGATGAGAAACTGATAACATGTCTTTTAATAGGAAAATATGGCAAGATTTGATCTACAACCTTAAAAATTAGGAAAGAATTATTTTAGGTGCTCCCAATTTTCTTCTTTTTATTTAAGAGAAATATTTTTACACTATAGAATTAGCAGTTTTAGCATTATAGAATTAGCTGTATTTTTAAGTCTTAAGAATTAACAGTTATTAAAGTAAAATGGTAGTCTTTTAGCCAATGATTTGCATTAAAATAAGCAAAGAAAAAAATTAAATTTTATGTTATTTAAGTTATTTAAAGCCGGTTGGTCATAGTTGTTAAAAATCTTTAAAAACAAAATGATCATAGTCTCCCAAAATTTGACATGATTGAATAAGCTTTATTTAATTTCCGATAGATGGCGATACCTCTGAAAAATTTTTGCCAGCCGAAGCATTTAGGATTTTCTTTAAAAATATTCGCCTGACACTTTCCACAAAGACGATTCGATTTAAAATGTAACTAAGTAATCCTAATGATATCAGTATTTACAATGTATAATCTTTGCAACATTTGTAAATAGTTATAATCCATCGAAAATTAAAATATTATTTAAGTATTAAACTAATGAAATTTTAAACATTTCGAAACTTTTATGATTATACTAATGAAGTTTTTTGAAATAATGTAAATATAAGTTCTTATTTAAATAAGATTCTTCTAAGGAAAGAAAATGGTTACATTATATTGATAAAATACAACAAGATTATTAAAAGTTATAACTATTATATTATTTTTTAATATAATATGTTTTTATTTCTAACTGTTTTGAGGAAACGGTAAAAAGTTTTACTGTATCGTTTATAGATGTTATCATTTGTTTAATTTTTGCTAATAAAGCAATAATAAATATCACTTAAATAAATGTTATGCTTTTATATCCGATAGTAGATACATGGTGGCATGAAGAAGTTGATGAACAGAAAGAATTTAAGCCCAGTTTTAGTTAAATTAGAATTATCGATATTACCAAAAATAAGAATAATTACGTTCGTTGTGATAATTCCTAACACATTAGAAAATTGAAATTTTATACAACTCTAAAGTGTTTATGTATAGATTTTTCCAAAGTTTCAAAATAATGAATAATTGTGTTTAAAAATGGAAAAATACGCTTAAGACATATTTAATTTATTATATAATCCATCTTAAAATATTTCAGGTGTTGAATGAATGAAAAATTAAAGATAATTAAAGATTTCAGGTGTTGAAGTTTGAATGAAAAATTAAAGATAAATTTAGTTAAATTAATTTAAAAACATCTGTAATGTTTGGTTGTTAAAGTATAAAACTAAATAAAAACTAATTTAGAATCGAAACAAAAGGAAATTATTTAGAGCTAAAATAAGGAAATAATTTTAGTAAATGAAAAAAAATGTATATCATTTAATTTTAAAAGAAATAATTTATTTATTTTTAATTACTAATTTCTAAACCAAAACAAATGCTACACTTTTATGTGAAAAATTGAGATAGGAAAAAGTGCATGCTCATTAAAACCCAGTTGTTTTTTATTTTATCTGAAAAAATTATTTCTCAGTTATGTTTATATATTTTTACATATACATATATGTATATATATAGGTATACACATACATACGCAGCTATATCTTTAAAAGGTTTTAACGCATTTTTATATGCATCTTTAAAAGTTTTTTTAAAAGGTTAGTAAAAGTTTTTATCTTAAAGTTATATGCATAAAAACAACGCGGTTATTCCAGATACACTTGACGGATACTTTTGCACGCCAGTGGATGTTCCTAAGTATGAAATATTGTTGTAAAATTGAGTTACGTGATGTTTTTTTCTTTCTTTGTTAGAGTTTTTTTTTTTTTTTTTTTGCATTTTTATTTGTACTTATTGTATTTGTTTTGCATTTGTAGATGTTCTACATGAAAAAAAACTTTTTTTTTCAGTAAAAGTAATTGAAATAAAATAAAAACAAGCGTAACTATTGCTCCTAAATTAAAAAAAAATAGAAAATATAAATAAATAGATGAATTAAATAAAATAAATAAACAAATAAATAAAATAAATTAATTAATTAAATAAACAAATAAATAAAATAAATAAACAAATAAAATAAATAAATAAAATAAGTAAATAAACAAAATAAATAGTTTGTTTTAAACTTTATGTACTTTAAAAACTGCTCATTTAAATATTATTTTTGCTTTAGTTTACGTAATATGAAAGTATTTCATTAAAGTGATATCGTAAAATTGTGAGAAATTTTTAGAAGAAGCTTGAAATCATGCATTAAAAATTTTGATCTCAATAATATAATTTTGTTAAACTAAAAAAGAATTTTAAAATTATATTTGATCTTAATAAGGAAAGTACTAATAAAAGCACGCTTTGAAACTTTCAAAAATACATTTCATAACTGATTAAACTGTTCACGTTAAGTTCATTGCAAAATAAATAAGTAAAAAAAAATAAATAAAAGTGAGTCAGAGGAAAATATTTTCCCCTTATGTTATAGTTTAAATAAAGTCTAGAAAAATATTGTAGAATCTCAATACTTAAAAACGTATTTTTAACGAACTCATTAAAATTGTGAGTAAATATTTTGGAGAAAAGTACATGCACTATGTATCGAAAAATAATTTGTACTGAATGATAGGTAAATTATTCGATTATATTTTTACATTTGTCCCTAAAAAAGGTACTAGGGATACTAATGAGTAATTCATGCTTCAAATCTTTTGAATTGTTCTGTATAGGCAGAGTGACTTTGTATCGTCTTTATGAGTTAAAATAAATAAGTTTGAATTTTCTTATAAATGTCCATTTTCTTCTTGCCAAGAATTATTAAAACTTCACGATTAAATTTTCATATCATTTGACAGAATGTCTTGCCTTAAATGAGAAGTTAATATGGAAACTATGCTCAAACTAGTAGGTAAACAACACCTCTACACAAATTGGTATCTGCTATGAAACTTAAAAACGTTTAAAGCGTCTCAAATTCTTAACCTACAATTTCGTTAAAATTATATTTCGAAGGAAAAGCCTGTCTAAAATGAAAATAACTGGATTATGAATGAAAACAAGATTTATTGAAAGAGACATTAGTTATAAAAATTTGCTAGTTTATTTAATAAATATAATATAATTTTAAAAAAGTAATGCCTTTAAAATACAAATTAGTTCAATTAAATAACAGAAATGTGAGCAATGGAATTTAGAATCAATATTTACTGATCTTTATTGTGTGTGTTTTTTTTTTTGGAATGGTTTGCATTCAGTGAATTTAGAAGATTGTTTTAAAATTTTTTATCTGTCTTTATGTATGCTGTTATATTCCGACACATACATCAGTTACTTAAAATTTCAATGAAATTCACATTTAAGAAATATTGTATTAGTTTAAATGTATAAACATTTTAAATAAACAGTTTTGACTTTTGTATTTACGAAACTTTAAATATTTATTCTAAAGTAATAGCATTCAAAATATGAAGGAAAACTTTTGCTCTACAACGTATATTTATTTTTCAATCTATTTTGTCCTAGAGTTGCTCTTCTCGGATATTTAGTTTACATGTGTTTAAATGCATTTATGTTAACTTACAAATTATATTTACAAAGTTTGTATACTATTTTCGAGCAATACTCTATGCTTTTGTCATTCGTATAGTATTTAAAGATCAAGAATTTAGTTTGAAAAGCAAAAAGCAATGAAATGAATGAAATTTTCGCTTAAAGCATTGCGATTTTTTTCTGGACTCCAAATTCTATTTTCTTTTTTGGTTTAAATTATTTCACAAAAAAAGCTTATTTTAAAATATTTCTTCTTAAAAATAGAAAAAAGCATTTATTAAAAATAAAAAAAAGATATAGAGGAGCAGTGAATCGTAGTTAAATGCGAAAATTGCAAAAATTAATAGTTTTAAAACTTAAAAGAAAGATAATTTTCAAATATGTTTGATAAAAATTGTAAAAAAAGGCAGAGAAAATTTAATATTTGAACCACCAGTTAACTTAATTTTGATTGTGAGACTAGTCTTTAATTTTTATCTGGATAATTTTGCTGTAAAGCTAAAAAAACAAACGAAAAAAAAAATCAAAATATTAAAGCATTTCTCATAAAAGAACGTAAAACAGCAGAGGAAGAATAAAACAATGTGGAACTAATATTAATGTGGGATTAAGGTGGTAGTTTTATTCTGGTGAAACTTTGAACCACTTTGAAACTTTCGGGCGGAAAACTTAATACGGTGTCCAGATGAGCAATTTTATTCCTCAAATTAAACTATCTTAAGTTTGATTATTCTATACTGCGATTCTACTTAAATAGAATAAAAAACATGGCT